CCCTGAGTATCTCTGGGTTCCAGGAACAACCTGCAGGGGACAAGCAGGTTGCTTCCCACTGCACCCACCACCACTGGCTTCTGCCACTTATTCCTATGACTGGCAGTGACCCTGAACTTCACAAAGTCACAGCTGATTGCACAGAAAGCATACACATTTGTAAGTTCAACATTACCTGGCACAGCAGCTGCCATGGAATCTGTAGAAATACAGGAACGGGAAGTCCAGGACGCTGAACAGGTCACCTGAGGAGCACAGCAATAGTGAAACAATGGCCCCCACAGTCCTCATGCCCTTATGCCCCTCTTCCAGCTGCCCCAGGAAACACAAGGCAAAGGTCTTGGGCACAGCAGCCCCTGCACATTGAGCAGCCTCACTATGGCATTCCTAGGGACTCTGTTACTGGCTCTGCTTTCTAATAAGATAATAATGACAACAACAATGATGATGTCGTACCAAGAGCATCTTCACACACGGGCCCACACTAAAAGCTTTCTGTCTTTATCTCTTTCCATCCTTGTAACAACTCAATGGGATTCTATGGTCCCCATTTTAACTGGTGTGCAGAGAAGTGAAGGGAGAGTCTAAGACTGCATACTTCTTGAACTGTAGAGCCAGAATGTGCACCCCAATTAATTCAAACTCTAAAATCTTTTCTCTTCACCAGGCAGCCATCCCTGCACAAGGGAGGGTGTGGTAGGGGAAAGTCTCTTAAGATTCTTTTCGATTTTTCTGTTTTATGTCTAAAAAAAGATTGTGAATGCATTCTCCTGACATCTTTTTGCATTTTCATATTTAATTACTGCACCAGCAGCACCGGGGCCAGACTGACTGTGCAACTCATTTCAGTTTAAGGTCCAAAGGGTACATTTATTTCTTGTGAAGTAAGTTCATTCTTTTAGTTCCACTTGGTGCAAGAGGAAATAATCACACATACTGGCGGCTTCCCTCTCTGGAATTTGAACTTAGTCACAAACAAGAAGTCAGGAGATTAAAAAAGCAGAAAGCCTTCCAAAAATGTCCTGAGAAAAGGAATTAAGCATTTCCACAGCGGATAGCTTAATCCTTCCAAATCTGGAATTTTTTTTTTTTGAGTCTGCAGGAGCCTGGCCCTCCAGACCCCTGGCCCTTGGTCTGGATCTCAGTTCTGGGTGGACTGGAATGAAAGGGCTGATTTTTCTAAATATTCATGGAACATCGAATAGCAGTGGAACATGCAGGCTGTGTCTCCTCCACCACTAGACCTGCTAATCAAGAATTTCAGAACCAAAGACACATGGGCTTCTACACTTCCTCAAAGATCTAAATGATCTCTGATGATTCAACCATCTATTGGGAAGAAAGTTCTGGATTCTATTTCTCTGAAAGATTTTTTTTTAATAGTGGACTATTATCTTCATTTGTTCATGCACATACATATGTTTAACTTAAAGGGTTTCTTGGGTTTTTTTCATGAAGACTGATAGGAGGTGACGAGATCTTGTTCTCTTTGGGCCATCATGCCACTGAATACCTGTGCTGTCTAACCAGGAACTTGGAAATGACACCATCAGATCATATCTCCAGTTCGTGAAGGGCATGGCTGTATTGTGAGGTCCCTTTCCCCGCTGAAGTAACAGCCAAAGTAACCCTGGGGACTGGGACCTCAAGAGTGGCCAAAGCCCCTGCTCAGGCATGCGGAAGGGATGTCCATGGAGAATTGGTTCTGTCCCTTCAGCAGCTGTTGGTTCCTGGCTCTTTCCCAATTTCCCTCTCAGTGTGAGAGGAAGTATATCGCAGTCAGTATGATAATGAGGAATGACAGAGAGGGTGAGCAATTACGTCCAGGACCTTGAGACCCCTTAGGCTATGCCTCCTCTTGGCACCCAGTCTTTTATCGGAAGCACTCCAGAAGGGCAAACAGGACATACGGGCATGTTGGCAATTTTTACAACCCGGCCCAGGCTTTAAAGGGGTCTGAAAGGCAGAGGAATGGGAGGAATGGGAGACTGGGAGGGAGAAAAATAAGGAATAAATCACAGTTCTCAGGGAATTGTCAGATAGTAACCCTCACCCAGATCCTGAAAATGGATCCCAAAAATTGAGAGAGAAAAAAATAATAAAAGAGTCTGCCCTTACTGCTGAGCCATTTCTAACACCTTCATATATTTTGCACACTGGACTTATTTGAAGTCACTCATGTCCCACCTCCTAGAGCTAGGAAATCTTTGAGAGCAGACACCCTACTCATCTCTGCAGCCACTATGTCGCCCCTCACCTGACACAAGCAGGCCCTACTGAACACAGGACAACTGTAAGGTCTGAGGATTGCTTGTTTTCCCAGGTGAGAATGTGTTTCCAGTTGGCTATATGGTCCTCAATTTCCAGTTGACTCCAGATGCTTCTCCTTTGATGCTCCTTTTTCTTTTACTCAAGTAGCACTTTTTTTTTTCTTTTTTGTGGTACTGGGAATTGAACCCAAGGCCTTGTGCCTGCCAGGGAAGTGCTCTTCTACTGAGCCACATCCCTGCCCTGAGGCACTTGTAAACAGAAACCCTAAACAGCAAAGATTAGTGACTCTGCCATCAATACCCCTCAAGGGGTTGCAGCATGCTGCTGGCCAGGTCCAAGTCCACCAGAGCTCAACCCAGAAGCCTAAGAGCACGTGCAATAACCTTCTCAAGCCAACACTGCACTGCCTCACGTAGAGCTGAACGGCATGAGCACAAAGCCAGAGAGCTGTCAACATGCTTTGTGGCAGCAACATGAGGTGACGCCATCCAGTCTGAGTTGACCCATCACCGTTGTGCTCCACTGCAAACTCTGCTGATCTGAGTGGGGGACTGAATCCCACTTCTCTGAAGATCACAGAGCACAAAATTGCCATGGTGGGAGGTGTGGCCCAGTCTTGCCATGCTCGAGACTGAGATTTGAACATGGAGAGAATTTCCTCTCACCACATTTCAGTCATCAGAACTGGCAGAAGAATGGGAGGTCGGTTCCCAGGAGCGATTCCTGCTTTTTGCTTTATCTCACACAGAGGCAGCAGCACCCTGATGGCTAGGTCAGAGGCCTGTGGTCTCCTTGTTCCTCTGGTTCCTTGAAATTCTCTCTCAAATACCACAGCAGAGGGGCCTCCATACAAATATGAAGTGTAAGTTTTTAAGCTTAGGAAGAATCTCTCTACTACTGGTTAAAACAGTCTAAGAGGAAAGGAGGGATTCTTCTTGAGCAAGATTCTGAGAGCCTTTTGGCCTCTACAGGAATAGTGAGGCTAGAAGAAGTGATGGATTCTGCCCACCCAGAAGCAAGCTCAGAGTCCAGGGCATGGAGAACTGTCTACCTGATCCCACATACCCCAAAGATTCATCTACAAGGAAGCTCGTCTTTCCACTCACTTATCAGTGAGGGAGGAGAGAAGCTTAGTCTAAAGCCCTATGCAGAGACCACGGCTCAGTAGAAGAGCTTAAATAAGACTGACCACACGAAGTGTTGGTGAGAATGTGCAGCTACTGGAACTCTCACACTCTCACCACTGGGTGAGAGTGACAAATGGTACAAATAGTTTGGAACACTGGTACTTTTTTATAAAGTTAAAAATACATACAAGATGTATGAAGATGTGAATTTGGTGTCAACATACCTTATATACAACCAGAGATATGATAAATTGTGGTATAAAAGTGTATTAAGAATTGTAATGCAAAATAATAATAATAATAAAATACATATAAGACCTACTAATCCTGCTTAGCTGTTCTGTCTGCCAAAACTTTATAATCAGCTGCATATTACCATGAAAAAATGCTACTAGGAGCTATCAAAGAGTTCAGGGTAATGGATTCCCAAGGAGTCTTCTAGATCCTGAGCTTCTGTCTTCTCACACACCAAATTTCTACTTTAATATCTATCTGCTTTGGTTATCTACTCTGACAAACAAATAAAGACAAGCACTTCATTATTCCTGGGTACTTTTTTTTTTCCACATGAGTTTTGGAGGGGATACCATAGTGGGACCCAACTTAAGCATGACTTCTCCCTGGGGGCCTTTCTGAGAACTTTTGGAAGCCATGGGCTGCTGCTGACAGCTGCATAGGTTACGTATTGCATGATATCAGAGAGCAGGACACTGTTTATATAGACCATGCTGACTAAGGCAGCCCTGAGAATTTCTAAAGACTAATGGTGCTCAAGACCTGGACAGGTTCTTTTCATTTAGATTTCAAAAGAAGCTTCAGTACTCCGGACAAGATTGTTTTACCACTCAATGGTCCTCATCCATGCAAGCACTCAAGAACAGACCCCACAGCTACCAAGGTTTGCAATCAATGGCACTCCCCTGATAAGAAGTGAAAGGAAAAGTAGATATACCTTTAAGGCACCTTGACACACAATTTGTAAAAGTTCTAAGAAGGCAATAAAGGTGACCTCAGTGATCACACACAGAGCACCTTTATAAAAAGAACATGCCTTTATATTACCTAACACACACAGAAGACTACATAGCTTTGAAGTGTTTCCCTGGAGTTCTCAAGGATTGAATATTGAACTTGGTACTGGTATACTTGGAAGTATCCAGCTTCTTCCGGAAGGCTGTCACCAATCTGTACCTCATCCCACACTGACCTTCTATTGGCATCAAATCAATATTGGCATCAGATTCACCATTTTTGGTCAGGAGCCATTTTATCTAGAGGCTCCGAAGTTTCAATTCTGAGGCAATGCTGCTTAACTTCCCGTAAGAAGTGTACCTGCTGAACGATCAACGATCGTTCAACGCCATCCCAGCTTATGACACAACTCCTAAGCAGCTTAGGAAATTCCTCTTTGCGGGCTATAAAGCTGCTCTGTTGAGTGCCATGACATCTGCTGTTCTCTTTGAAGGGACAGCCTTATTGGTTTGCCTCATGCTACTGACAATAAATCTCTTGCATGAGATTTGGGTGTGTGGCTTGGTCTTTGGACTTTGTGTGGACCCTGTGAGTGTCCTTTCACCTTCCCTAGGCCTTTGCAGAAGCCCTGTTATGATGGCCACTGAGGCTTGTAGGATTCCTGAGTCCTATAGCATTAGGGTATGCTTTTGCTCGGGAACCTCAGCTACTTACTGCACCAGAAGCCAAGGTCTCTGCTACTAATTGGCATAAGAGGCACAGCCACTATCACTGACCCAGCAAAATCCTTCTCATAAGCTCAAATTTCTAAATCCAGCTTCTTCAATGACCAGCCTCTTCAATGATCTGCCTCAGCTAGCATGAAGTCACAGTAAACCAAACTTGCAGAAAGGACTCCTTCAAGAGAAGTGTGCCAAGGCTCTCTCTGAGGAAGCCCACAGGTTCCATGACTCACTTGTGCTGCTTACTGCAGATCAGTCCTCAACATTTACCATGCAAGGAGTTAGAAGCCTGAAGGAGAAGGAATGGGGGGCAAGTATCATTTACATATTTTTATGTAGAAGTATTTATATACTTAAATATGTATAACATTGTGTGTATATGTGTATTTTTTTTTCAGTGCTGGGAACCAAATCCAGGGCCTCACACAAGCTAGGTAAGTGTTCTACCACTGAGCTACTTCCACAGCCCCTAAAAATATGATTGAAGGAAAATTAATCCTTCTAAGGATCCTCTTCTAGCATAATTAAGTTCCAAACAGGTTCTCAAATCAGAGACATTTATTTTTCTCTACATATTTTTTATTGAGATATAATTCACATACTATAAAACTTAACCCTTTAAAGTATATCTTTTGATGGGCGTGGTGGCACATGCCACCCAGTAACTCAGGAGCCTGAGGCAGGAGGATGATGAGTTCAAAGCCAGCCTCAGCAACTTAGAGAGGCCCTAAGCAACTTAGTAAGACTCTGTCTCAAAATAAAAAATAGAAAGGGCTGGGGATGTTGCTCAGTGGTTGTGCACCTCTGGGTTCAATCCCTGGTACCAAAATAAACAAATAAAGTGTGCTTTTCTGTGGTTTATAATATATTCACAGAACTATGTAATGTTATGGTTTCCATATGTGGTGTTCCCCCAAACTGTTGTCTCATATGTGAGACGGTACAAGAATGTTCAGAGGTAAAATAATTGGGTTATGAGAGCCTAACTTTATCAGTGCATTAATTCACTGATAAGGATTAAATGGGTGGAAATTGTAGGCAGGTAGGGTGTGGCTGGAGAAGGTGGGTCACTGGGGGCATGGCTTTGGGACTTAAACTTTGTTCCTGGTGAGTAAAGTTCTCTCTGCTTCCTGATTGCCAGGTCCTCAGCTGATTTCCTCTGCCACACTCTTCCACCATGATGTTCTGACTCACCTCAGGCCCAAAGGTATGGAGCTGGCCGGCTATGGACTGAGACCTCTGAAACTGTGAGCTCCATTTAAACTTTTCCCCCTTTAAAACTGTTCTTGCCAACTGTTTTGGTCACAGCAGCAAAAAATCTAGCTAAAACATGCAAGCATCACCATTATCTAATTCCAGAACATTGTATCCCCTCATAAAAGAGATTGATGCCAATTTTAAATTATTCTTCTGTCTAAACTATTCAACAATATTAGGTGGCTGACCACTTTGTGTTCCCAAAGAGTAACAATGCATGAAGATATTCTTATATGGGCCTAAAAATTTAATAATAACTCAAGGTGAAAAGTTGGACTTTTCAGATAAACTATTACCAACAACCACCATGCTTGGAAATTGGTGGAGAAAATGCTTCCCACATCAAGAGAAGTTCTAGAAAGAAACCAGGAATGTCCTACGAAAGTATTCACTTGCTTGAGACACTTTATAATAAAGTATAGAATCAGTGTAAAAAGCAGTAATCAAAAAGAAAAACCTGGCAGCAGGGTCAGGAGACCTAAAAGTGCTTTTCCCTCTGCTAAGCACCTGCTCTGCATCATCTTGGTCATATCACTTAACTCCTCTGAGCTGCATATTCCTCACTTGTAAAATCTGGAAGCACCTGTGATAACTGCTAAGCTTCCTTCCAGCTCTGCTAATCATGAGTTGACAGAGGAACAGCATAATCTCTTAGTTGAAGGGCAAAATGATCTCTTTAGGTAAAAAATTATTTACCCACATCCCCTACAAATAATTCAGGAAGTAAATGAACCTGTAAATCAGGAGAATCAGTAAATATAACTTTCCAAAGGTTTTTGACAAGTGCACATTTCAAAGAGAGAGAATCCTAAAACATCTGCCAGGTGACTGACGCTATGATGAGAGGCAGGATTTGAAGGCAGATAACCGGCTGTACGGGTAGATAGAAACTGCTTAGGGTTCAGCATGGCTTCATAGGATTTATTATTATACAAAGGATAGGCTTTCAAGATGACAGTGGGGAGGACACTCAAGAGCAAACCTCAGAGTCTGAGATGTCCCCAGGCTGTGGGAAAGAGCAAACAAAAGTGAGTGGGAATGGAGAGAGTAATGCATTAAGAGAAAGTGATCTGAATGATCCTTAGGAGAGTGGGCTCAGACACAGCATTTATAATCCAATAGCCTTACTCCAGGTCACTATGGAGGAAACTAGCTCAATCAGTTAAAAGCAGCTAAAAACACCAATGGAAGCTGTCACTGCCACACAATGCTGTCACTAAGCACAGGGTGAGAGCTGGGAAGGCTTTAGAAAGAATCCAGCCCGCCTTTCTCATTTTAGACATGAGAAAACGGAGACTCCAGGACTTAGGTAGTGCTTCAGGCATGTCAGTAGTCAAAAAACATTAGTTTCTTTTTTTGTTGTTGTTATTGCTTACAAAAAAAGGGGGGAAAAAGTCTTCATGTCACTCATGAGGGAGCCTAAGATGTTCCAATTCTAAGTCAATGCTCTTTCCAACACTCTACCATGCTATAAAGAGCATGACCAGTAAGATGTATATTTTCATTCATATCACACATAGACACTACTTTTTTACAACCTCTGTTGTGGTTGGAATACGGTTTGTCCTTTCCAAAACTCACTTTGAAGTCAAACTCTCATTGTGAGGTCTTAGGAGGGTGGAAACTGCTGGTGTGGTGGTGCACACCTGGAAACCTGGAATCCCAGTTACCTGGGGGGGGCTGAGACAGGAGGATTGCAAGGTCATGGCAATAGCAACTTAGTAAGACCCTGTCTCATAATAAAATTATAAAAGAGGAGGCTGGGGAATTAGCTCAGTAATAAAGTACTTGCATAGCTCACAGGAGGAGCTGGATTTAATCCCTAGTACTTAAAAGAGAGAGAGAGAGAGAGGAAATTTAATCCAACTATGATGTCTAGATGTGTGCTTTTGGGAAACAGGATTAGATAAGGTCATCAAGGTGGGGCCTTCATGATTGAATGCTGGTGTTCATAAGAAGAGAAATGACACATGTGTACCATTCTCCATTGGTGTCATCTCAACATATGATGCCCTGTGCCATCTCAGGACTCTGTCAGCAAGAAGGTTGTCATCAGATGGGGCCTTGTAACCATGAGTCAGTGCGGGAGCCCAAAGCAATCTATTTTCTTTATAATTTATCCCATCTATGGTACTGTGTTTTTAACCACAGAAAATAGACTAATATGACTCCAAAGCCTTTCAAAGTAAAACAAACAAACAAACCAAACCCAACCCACGTTGGAATAGAGCATTGTAATTCAGGAATCCAGGTAATTCATTCCTCAATCTGAAAAGCAACTACAGAGTAATTGAGGCCGCAACAGGGTGAAAATAAGCTTTTAAAATTGACTTCTTTACTCCAGTATTCAGAAAATTAGATGATGATGTATGATAAAAACTTTACAAAATGAGGTCAGCTAGAAATGGAGTGTATTTGACAAGTGCACATTTCAGAGAGAGTGTATTTTCACCAAATCCTTTTAGCACCAAAACAGCAATTCTGTATGCTTGGGTAAGGGACTTTAGAAGAGGGCAAAACAAGCACTAGATTACTTGGCAGGTAATAAACAGACTCAGCTATATATCTGAGACCACACTAGATGAAAACACAGACAATAAAATGCATCAGAGATAAGAAAAAATTCCTGGGCAATAAAGTCACAGTGGGTCTTTTTTTTTTTTTTAAATTTAAATTTTTGTGGTGCGGGGAATGAACCCAGGGTCTCATACATGCTAGGCAAGTGCTCTACCACTGAGCTATATCCCCAGGCGCACTGTGTTGGATTATTAAGAGCAAATTCAAGTAGGTGGACCATTTTTTAACTCTCAGGGTGACATACTGGAAGGTAACCATATTCTCTTTTGGGATGTCTTCAGAGATAACAACCAAGCTCAGAACACTGGGTTAAACAGGGTCAATGTAAAACAACCCACAAACACCCCAGACGGCTTACCTGTGGGGTGAGCTGCAAATGCCAGAAACGCCACACTGAAAAAAGACACAGCAAAGTAGTCAAGAAAGTTTCTCCAGCACAAAAAAGAAAAAAAAGGGGGGGGGATACAAAACCATACATTTCCATCCATTTTACTTGGAAATAGTTCAATTGGCCTGAAAGCAAATTTTCTATAGTGACTGGTCTCATTCTGCCTAAGCCCAACTCAGAGAGTGAGAATCTCTTAAAATGTTTTGGCAAGAAGGCTGAATCTTCCTGGGACAGACTGAAGGTCTCCTGTCCCACCTGAGGACCAATGATGTCACTTTTCTCAGTCCTGGCTGACCATAACTATGATCACATTTAATTTACCCAGAGTATTTAAGAGCTAAACCAAGGGCACTCCACATTACAAATAGGTTGCAATCTAAAAGCTAGCCACTGAGCTATGTGAACTGAGTATCCTTTTTCCATAAAGTGAAGTGTGTTTAAGGTAATTAAATTTCCAACCTGCCCACAAATTGATCCATCCAACCACAGCTGAAAACTACCTGGACTGAAGTTTAATAGATGTCCACAGAAGGGGCGGGGAGGGGGTCTGGAAAGGAGATGGAGGAATGTTCTTTGATGTGAGCCACATTGGACCATGGCACCCCATTCTTCCCCTCTGGAAACTTCTGTATCCCTGCACCCCTCTATGGTGCCTGCATGCTGTCCAATGCCCACTGCAGGGGACTGAATTCTCCCTTCTTCAGCCTCCTCTACAAAAACTCCATGCCATCCAGACAGTCGATCTAGTTAGAGGTTAGGAATAAAACTTGACATCTAACTATGGGAAGGAATTTTTTTAAATGTGTGGAATGGCCTGCTCTGGCTCAACCCTGGCTGCACATCAGACTAGTCCAGCATCCTGGTTTATATCAAAATCTCCCAGGGCAGGGTCCAGACAAGTTTTCTCCATGATGGCCCAGGCAGTTCTAAAATGCACTGGAACCGAGGATCACAATAGGCAATCTCCAGCGAGCGGTGACGTTGTAGGTAGTCCTAAGGAAGGTGGCCGTGAGCAGAAACCACTGTTAGACTGTCAGCCCTGCCCTGCTCCTAGGGCTATCTCCCTGCACCATTTCTGTTTCTCCTGAGCTCTGCCTTGAAAGCCCATTTCTCGTGTCCCCTTGAGCAGTAGCAGTATAGCTGGCAAAGGAGCAGGAGAGGATGCTTGGGAGGACAATGGAGAAGAGCCCATTATGGGGATCCTATAGAAGTTGTCGGTTTGTAAGACAGGGCTTACTTGTAGCTCTGAAAAGTACACATACTACACAAGACTGGAGACTGAGGAATGATTAGTCCTTCACATGGGCTCTGTAAGTCTTCACTTGACATCTTGTCATTTTTTGGAAAACTTGTAATCTCTTCATATGCCATTATTTGAACTCCCTGGATCCTCTTTTGTTTATAACTTCAGGAGCAGAAGAAATTCCTCCTATTGCAGGATATGAAGCACCTCTTTCCATCCCAAAATATCTCTCAGGGCCTGCCATGGTTCCCCAATTCCCATCATAAGGGTCACTCCAAAATATTAGGGGGTAGAAATAATTAAGGGAAAGAGTTGGTCTTCTAACTCCTGTCTGGAAATTTGCAAATACAATGCTAACCCACTCCTAATTCCTATGCTGTGACCTCTTTGGGGGCGAGAACTATATTTTATTCATCTCTCAATCCCAAGTACCTACATGGATATAGTGCCATGCATACAGCAGGGATCAATATGTGTTATAATGCAGTTAATTACCTCTAGGTTATCTGTGGTAGGAATACATTAGAAGAAAAATATAAATTGAAGCCCCCAATAGTTCTAAGATCATAAGTTACATGTAAATTCTAAAGAGGAAATTATACTAACATAAAAGGCCAAATAGCAGGCCTTTTTAAAATTCACTCAATCAATAAATATTTATTGAGTGTCTAATATATGTCAGGCACTGTTCTAATATCTAAGAAGAAACAGGTAAACGAAACTGAAACATCCCTATACTCATAGGAAATAAAATGAGAGAACATGAAGAAACCATAATCTACATATGCTAAATTCCAATACTTTTTTTCTGTTTCTCTAACTCATACCCCAGAGAGAATACCTATTTCCCTTTGACACACATACACAAAATTGCATCTGGAAAATAAGGAGATGGAGAATAAATGAGCAACATTATGGTAATTTTCTATTTAATAGACAGAGAAATCAGTATCTGCCTCGTGTTAAAAAAGAACTGGTACTACAAGGTCATTCTATAACATTCATTCCTTACATATTGTCTAAGTTCCTCAAAAGGCAGAGCAAAGTGATATTCAATTTTAACAATTTATTTATGCTCAGCCTGTGGACAGCTTTCCCATTCACCTTTTCCTTCATTCTTTCCCCTTACGTGGTTCCTTATTCTCTGTATTAGAAACATCAAGAAGTCAGGGTCAGGGAGCAAATACATCCTCAGTGAAGTAGGAGTGTCTGCCAAAGGCAGAGAACCATCCAACGGTTTGCGTTTCTCAAAATATCTAGAGTTCAAACCAATTTTTTCACCCTGGCATGCAACACTCCAGGCTGGCCCCAACAAGGACAAACCATAAATCTGAGCAGATTGCAGATTTCTGGACACCAATACCCTCAGCACCCAGTGCCAAGGGGAAATTGAATAGTGGTACTTATTCTGATTCATACATCTTTATCACTTGTACCAGAAAAAACCTGGAACCAGTCACGGCTTAAGCAGGGTATGCCACAGCCTCAGCCAGGAAGCTGGGAGTACCAAGATCACAGGCAATAAATATCCTCACTCCAGGTGGAGAGGGAGAGGTCAGAAGAAAGAACTGAGGGTCAACAGAGGCTCATTTTTCTATACCTCTATTCCTTTGCCGTGCGATCTGGTTATATGTTTTGTACAGAAGAATTGCCTATAATGGCACAATGGCTTAGAAACTTGGTTTTGTTTTGTTTTGCAGTGCTGGGTTCAAATCCAGAGCCTTGTGCATGCCAGGCAAGTGCTGTACTATTGAACTTCACCCCTAGTCTTTGGAAGTATTTTAAATAACAATAGCCTTCTGTATTTTCAGAAAAATCTCTTGAAAGATCTGGTGGGTCTGAGCAGAGTGTGACTGACTGCTGCTGGGCACAAAGGTGGCCCACAGCAATGCGTGGGGTGTGTCTTACATTCACATAGGCATTTTAATAAATACTAGGATATTTACGGGCATCCTCTGCACATGGAGAACACAGCTCAAGTTGAATGTTTTAAGTAGAGTAACTTCCTCCAGAAATCAGCATGACCAAGTGGTGGGGCACATCTCCAACCTTGGCCCTCTTCACTAAAATTCACAACACTGGGCAACATTGGGTTTCCAGCAGCAAACCTCATTTTCTTTCTCAGGTCTGTGTGGTAGCACATCCTGTCTATCAAGGAAACTCTACTGGCTTCTTGCTACAAAACGCTTTATTCAAAAAACAAAAGGTGCTTGGGAAGTGAAAGGTGCTTGGGGGTTTTCAGAGGGCCTGACCTTTTCAGGCCTTTCCTCTTTAGGCCTTCAGTTCCCAAGACCCGGAGGCCAAAGGGCTAGTACTGAGGCTACTGAGATCCAAGAATGAGTCCCAGCTATACTATTTAGCAGGGAGACCCCATCCTTAGCCTGGCTCAGACAAGGGTACAAACAATAGTCCACATACCAATTTAAAAGTCAAAAACTAAACCTCAAATTTGATCCTACCTGAACAAATACACCTTGAAAACAACCTGGAATCTAGATTAAAATTTAGAATTCTGGGGCTGGGGTTGTGGCTCAGCGAGGCCATGGGTTCGATCCTCAGCACCACATAAAAATAAATAAATAAAACAAAGGTATTGTGTCCAACTACAACTAAATAATAAAGTTTTTTTTTTTTTAATTTAGAATTCTGAGAATGCTTGGAACTTTGTGTCAGGTGGCAGCATGGGGAGATCTGGCCTCTGGCTCTGGGTTCCCAATGTGCCCTCTTCTCTTTGCACCCCAGGTTCCTTCCTGCTCCCCAAGAATTCTCTGCATATGTACATGAACAGGACATCCTCTGTTTGCATCCCATTCTGGTAACAGCCTCTCTAGGACATCCATTAATAGGAACAAGTTGGGAAGACAGACCTGGAAGGCCCTGGAAGGGAGCTTGGAGCCATTTGGGTAGGGGATCATAGAGCACAGTCTAGAAGTGAAGTTGTGGGGTCTGTATGAAATGTCCCTTAGCCTCCAAGGGGAGGAATGTGGCCCTCTGAAGTGCAGGGCTAGATGGAGGCCTGGTCTAAGGGCAAGACAACTATCTGGTTTTCCCATCTCTGGTCATCTCACAAATTATTTAACTTCCTTTCCTGGCAGCCCCATTTGCTCTCTAATCAAAACATTACTGGAAAATAAAATTCATTAGCTCTAGAAGAATATGCATTGGTACTTCAAAAATGCAAATTATATTTTACCTGAATATATAGTTTAAATACTGCTGGTCAATGTCACTAAGGAATGAGAGAGAAAAGATAAAACATATGAAACAACAGAAGAAATTTTTAAAAACATAATACAGTCATTATCCACTATTAATAAATTTTATTTCTACATGTTACTACTTTATAAATTCTTAATAAATTTTATTCTTAATAAAAAATATTCAAAACTAATTCCAGGGTGTTTTTTTTTAACCTGAAATAACTTTATAAAATTTATTTTGTATAACTGAATTATTTTTAAAATGTTTAAATTTGCATATAATCCCTCCCTCCCTCCCCACCGCCGGTTTATTGTTTTAAAAACAGTTCGTAGTTAAGTGCCATAACACACACACATGTTCACCTGTGTGGCTGATGGCTCTCCGTGTGCATGTGACCACTTTCAAAGGACTATCAATTATCTCAGGGCACTAGACTGGCTTCTAGGGCTACCATTTTTAACAAAAGTAAAGGGCATTTAAATAAATTTGAATCTCAGATACAGCAATGTCTTAGTGTATGCTCCAAATAGCACATGGGCCATACTTAAACTGTAAAAGTTTGCTGCTCAGATGAAATTCAAATTTAAAGGGCATCCTGTCTATCAAGACAACTCTACTGGCTTCTTGCTACAAAAACACTTTATTCAAAAAAAAAAAAAAAAAAGGTGCTTGGGAAGTGAAAGGTGCTTGGGAGTTTTCAGAGGCCCTGACCTTCTCAGGCCACCGCCTTCGGGCCTTTCCTTTTTAGGGCTTCAGGCCCCAAGAGCCGGAGGCGGCTAGTCCCCCTCAACTGAGGCCACAATTCTTATCTTTTTTTTTTTTTTTTTATTCACATTCACCAAAGGGACTCCATTGCTTGCTGCAACGAAGGATTTATTTTATCCAAGAACAGAAGTAGGGAGACTCCTAGGAATAAACTGAGTCAAGTTTGGAAGGCACTGGGGAAAAAAGAAAACCTAGTTGACTGGGGTCCAAAGCAGCTGATCATATACAGTTCATTAAATTCTTATCTAAAAGGCTGCCCATGAACGAAAGGTGATCCATGTCTCTACACATATAGCTGAAAGCTGATCCCTCTCAGATGGCAGCGGGCCTGGCCCAGAGTGGCTGGTGCAGCAGGCAGAAAGAGGACAGGCAGCTTTGAGGGCTCTCTGCTGCCCTCCTGCAACCAGACTTGCAGAGAGTCTGGCCAGATGGAAGAATCTCATGCTGAATAGATCTCATCTCTTTCCTTTAACCAAACAACTCACCAAACATTCAGAGCTTACCTTAATGCACTAGGCTTCTGGAACTTCCGTAGTATTTTATAAGCACCTGGAAATGAAGTCACATGACATTCTGCTTAAAGAGCTGCCTGCACTTTCAAGAAAGTACAAAATCCAGGCAGAGAAGAACCCTAACAGCACAGCTCCTGGTCCCCTTTTCCCTATGAGGGTCACACACTGACAAGACAGGACTAAGAACATTGGAGGGACTCAAGGATGTGAACTCAATGGTCCTCCGTGATAATGTAGTCAGTCCTTCAAGTGGCCCACAGGGAGCACCAGGCAAGGAAAGTGTCATGATCCACAGGTAGATATATAATTAAAAGGAAGGTTTTACTTCCTTCACACAATGCACATGGGAAAGAGAAACACTGAGGGATTTCTGAACATTTCTAAACTGTGTTAATAAATCCAGGGCACTGTTTATTCCCCCTAAGATTACAAACAAGAAACACTGAACATATGACTCTGAAATAAAATCAGATGGTCTGCCAGGTGTGCTGGCGCAATCCTGAACTCTGGTGGCTTGGCAGGCTGAGCCAGGAGGACAGAAAGTTCAAAGCCAGCCTCAGTGACTTAGCAAGGCCCTGAGATCCTGTCTCAGTGGTTAAGTGCTCCGGACTGATTTCAATCCCCCGTACTAAAACAAAACAAAAAACAACAAAAAAAATCAGATGGTTCTTTTATTACACCAACTTGATGATATTATTATTATTATTATTATTATTATTACTATTTGCTTGCTTTTTTAAAATATGCTTTTGGATTCCTTCCTTTCTGCCCTTTTAAAGAAAGAACAACCAACATTCTATCTGAGCCAATGTTTATCATGAAAGAGAGGAAAGGGAACTATATTGGAAAGGGAAATAGTTGAAGAAAACTCCAAAATAGAAAAACAAATCCAGAAAATGCCCACTTAATTTTAAACTTGGATTTTTTAAAGGAATTTAACCTTTATTTTATTTATTTGTTTGTTTTTATGTGGTGCTGAAGATCAAACCCAGTGCCTTACCCATCCTAGGCAAGTGCTCTCCCACTGAACTAGAACCCCAGCCCTTAACCTTGGATTTAATTTTCCTATTGTCCAGAGTCACTATCAGTGAATACAGCTAGAAAATTAGGGGAAGAGAGAAAAGGAAGGCAACGGGAATGATAATGATCAAATTATGTGCTTACACAAATATGGCATAATGAATCCCACTCTTAAGTAAAATTATAACGTACCAATTAAAAAAACATACCTCAAATATTTAAGTAAGCATTTAGTTAAAACTTACCTACACAGAATAAGTGAATTACAGCCCAAAAATATCCATCTGGATCAAACTGTAATACAGGATAAAGAAAGAAAAAAAAAAACAGCTCTGAGTACAAACAGCATCCGCACAGCAGGCAGAAACCTGAGTCATCAAAGCACAGTGCCGGGCAAGGTTTCAAACCAGTACTCTTAGTGTCTAGGTCCATTCTCCCTCATATGTCACCCAGTAGCCTACAACAACTTCCTGATGCAGCTTGGCCTCCGTCCCCGCTTACCCACACTGCCACCACACTATGTGCAAATCCAAACTCATGGCACTCAAGGACCTCAATGACAAGCCCCCACAAACCCTCCAGTCATGACTACAGCCCCCCACCCTCAAAGAACAAGGATGGTTTGCATTTTCCAAAACAAATGCTCTCTGCTTACTAGCCAAGCAGACTCTTTCTTTTTCTCCCTTTCTATTATTCTCCACAGCCCTCATATAGTTGACACACTCTACAGTTTCCTTATTCTCAGTCTGACTCCATCTCCGCCCACCCTCCACTAGATGGAAGTCCCAGGAAGGCAGGAGTTAGAATGGGGTAGCCACATAGTAGGTGTTTATTAAAGTCAAATCCCAGCATACCCATGGCCCCTTTGGCACTTTCCTCATTCTTTCAGATTTCGGTTCAGTAAGCAGTGCCTGGCTCTAGCGATCTAGGTTACATTCTAAAATCCCCTCTTATTCATTAGCAGGTGACCTTTTGGGTCTCACTATTCTTTAGCTATTCATGGAGATAATAATAGTCCCTGTCCTACAGAATTGTTGTGAAATTTTAAGTAAAATAGGGCATAAAAAGAATTGGTGCAGGGACGGCACACAGCAGGATCCTATCATTGTTAGCTGTTCCCATTTTCCAAGTCCCTGAGTCTTCTTAAGTACTTCATAGCCTCCCTACCTCTCTGGACTGAGTCCTGGTTTCCCTGTCATAATTAGTTGACTGCTCACTTATCCATCTCCCTCCCCCTTTGCACTGAATAGACTCTGATTTCTGCCACAACAAAGTCTCAGAGCCTGATACTAGGGTGGCATGGGGGGGGGGCACTTAAGAATGCTGGGGGAGAAAGGGAGGCAGAAAAGAAAGAAAAACCTAGCAAGGAGATGGCTACTGGGGATGCGATGGGTCCTTAGTGCCTCATAAGGAAATCTCCAATTTGGCACAGGGTGATCAAGCAAAACTCACTTCCAGCAGAGGCCCTGGCGATGAGCAGGAAAATCAACTTTGCCTCAATGCCTGAGGCTGGGGCGACCCAGGCATGGGAGTGCAGGTTCACAGACTTGCACAAGAATGAAATGCATGCAACCCAGGGCCAGACCTCTAAGGCCTGGGGGAAACGGTGCTCCTGGGCCAAAAGGCCCCAGCCTGGGAGCTTCTGAATGCCTCCTCATTCTCAAAGCAAGGACTAGGAAAGTCTGCACACATGCGAGACTTCAGAGAGTAAAAGACTCTTTGAAGGCAAAAGGAGTTTACCTGGACTTACCTGGGAGTCGTTGAAGGGAAGGCACCCTGCAGCTGCCAAGAGGAAGAGGGCGCTGTGGACAGGCAGATAAAACAGGCAGCTTCACCTTTCAAGATCAAAGCCCTTCCCAGAGAGTGTGGAGGTTGGACCAGATCCCTTGGAGTTTGGAGGAGGCAAAGAGCCTGAGACCAACCCAGTTCCCCCTTCATCCTTTGAGAACCCTGACTCCTGTGTGGTTTTCAATTACATTCTCTGCTGACAGCCAGACATCTTCTCTGCAGCTAGCTAGCCATTGCCCAGAGTCGGGCACTTGCAGGACACATGAAAACCAGAGCTGGCTCACTCATGAAACAGTGTGTCTGTCAAATAGCTAATAAAAGGAGGTTTTTGACTATAGATCCCCAGAAAACATGGGTGTCTAGTTAGGCAACCAGATCACCATCATGACAGAAACACCATGAACAAAAAACAAAAAAAAAAGCTTATTAAAATCCTTTGTACACAACTTTAATCTAATGTTCAGACTCAATAATATCCAATAACTGGATAGATCAATGCCCTGTGCCTCCTGTTAGGACACACTAAGGTACAACATCACACTTGAGGCTCTGTCAAACAGGTGAAAGCTGAATTGAATTAGGAGAAAAGGCTGAGACAAAACCAAACTTACAGTCCACAAACACAACAGGCCTGTATGCTTCAAAAATGTGAAGGCAATGAAAGGCTGAGGGACTGTCTTAGATTAAAGGACACAAGAGAGACATGACATTCTTGAAGGGGAAATTGCTACAAAAGATAATACTGGAATCCTGGAAAAACACGAACTTGGGCTGAGATATTAGATAACAGTATTGTATCAGATATCAATTTCCTAAATTTAGTAAGTGCCCTTCAGTTATATAAAAAGGATTGCTTTTTTTAGGAGATATGCTTTGAAGTATTTAGGAGTAGGGTCATGGTCTCTGCAATTTACACTCAAATGGTTCAGAAAAATAAGAATATCTTTCTGTGTTTTGGGTAATGTTAGGTATGTGTAGACATGCATTATATATGTGGGAGAAAAGGGAGGATAGAGAAGCGGGGAGAGAGAGAATGGAAAAATGTTATCACTGGGTGAATGTAAGTGAATAATGCGTGGGCGTTCATTGTAATATTCTTGCAACCTCTCTGTACACTTTATTTCTTATATAAATAGAAAAATCTCTTTTACATACTGAAATATTTACAGATGAAATGCTATGGTTCTAGTATGTGCTTCAAAGTCATACTGAAGTGAAGCAGTGGGTAGGTCCATAAATTAAAAATTATTGAAGCTGGAATATGGGTAGATGGACTTCCTTATATTACTGTCTACTTATTTTTATAGGTTTAGAGATTTCCACAATATAATGTTTTTCAAAAATTCTTGCACAAAAAATAATGTTGCCAATCAGATATTTTCAGAAAACTATCCTCATTCATCACAAAGTTCATTTGGAGCTGGCTCAGTAATCATTGGTTTTTAGCATCTGTCTTCTGGTTTTCATATACAAAATGACTTTGCCTGTAGCTTTCCCCAATCATTCTGTTCTCCTAAAAGAAGGCATCAGAAAGCCCAAAACCCAAATTAAGTCTTGGTCTCTCTTCTCTTTTTATTTTATAAGCGCAACAACATATGTAATGTTAGGCCCTCACTACTGACCTATTCCATCAGGAGACAAACAGCAGAGGATCAAGGCATGAAAAGAAGCACTGGATACAGAATTTTCACTTTCAGGGGATTCTGTCATTGGCATCTCATACTGATACATATCCCATACATACAAAATTCTATGCTCTTTATATAGATCACATATTAATACATAATCTAAATATAGAACATAGATTAATCTATATTTTTCTATAGATCATAGATTATACACACATATATATTACATGATATAGACATTTGTACACGTAATATATTATATCATACCTATACAACATTCAACAAGCAGATAATAACAATCTCAATGTCCTGGAAACTGATGCTAACCAATTCCAAGTGCTTACTGCTGTAATGACACCAGATGGCTGCACCAGAGCAGGAGACTGGCACAGAGGAACCCTCAGACTTGGGTCCAAGACTTGGGAAGGTCAAGACAGGAGAATATAGAACAGCATGAGGCCCAGAAGGTTCTCCAACCCAGTCTACCCTCCTCCTTCAGCCTCCCTGCTTTCAATGCACACACAAAAGTGACCTAGAGAAGAATGCAAGGCAAAGATTGGGGTGAGTGGAAGAGAGATTGTCAGGGGGCTGCTGAGGCTGCTCAGCAATAGGCAATAGGCTTTAGGTGGGAGAAGAGAAGAATCCTAATAGGTTTGGTGTCTATTGGAGTAGAGGGCTTTCTGGAATATAGGCTCCTTCCCACCCAGGGAATGCACATTTAGAGATCCCCTCATGCAGAAAATCCCTTGAGGATGAAGGAGATGGGGGGATACCCAGGGGGTGAGACGGGGGCCTGGTTCCTATGGTACTTGAGCAATTATGTATCAGGTATTAGGGTGCTGGGAGCATTTGTGAACTGTGTGTGAACCCAAACAACATGGAAGCCATTAGGCAGGAAGGTCTGGTCTCGGGAACTCCCAGTGGCAACCCTGCTGTTGAGAATGCCCAATTCATGTAACTTCGTACCTAGCTATGTCTTAAGTTTAGCACTGCACTGGAGATAGAGTGACCCGCTGAAGCCACACAGCCTCTCAGAGATGGGGGTAGCTTGCCAAGATGACAATCAACCCATTTGCTGCAAGACCCCTGCCCCTGAAACCTTATCCTTGCCTTTGAAGCCCTCCCCCTTGAATAAAGAACTGAATCCACGTTCAGTTGTTCAGTTCCAGCTCCTATCAGGACTGGAGACCTACCAGGCGCTCCACTTTTCTTTCATCTAATTTTTGGCTCTGGCTCTATTTCTTACTAATTAATTCAGACTTTCTATTCCTCAGGCAGCTCACACCTCCTGAGCAGGAATCTACCCTGTCAGGGTGCCGGCCACCTCACAATATTAGGGGCTTTGATGCCTCTCTTTAACATTTTGAGAATCTCCTTTTAAACAAGTGGTGAGACCTGAAATTTTGTTTTACATTTTCCTTTCCAGCTGTAACCTGTAATAAAGGCAAAAAAAAGAGGGGGGCGCGGCTGGATGGAAGCCCAGAAAAATCTGAAACAAAAATCCTAAATCTGTGTATCAAAGCATCGCTGTTGGTTTTCTATCATGGGACTGAGCATCTCAGTTACAGCAGAGGAAGGAGGAAGGGGTGGGAGAACAAGGTAAGGAGTTAGAACGAGAATTCAGATTTGGAGAGACCTGTATGAGAGTCCAGTCATGCTCTGCCAAGGAAACCAAGGTTCAGAGGGGGAAGAAACTTGCCCACCATCACTGTGCTGTACCCAGGACTGCAATTTAGATTCTGGGACTCACAGGCTAATGCTTTTCCCACAGTGGAACATCTTAGAGCCTCAATAAACTGCATTATTTTAAAAAAATTTAAGTCATCTCCATGTTTTTCAGTTCTCCACCAATATTGCACAACTTATTACGAAGTTTTGGGGCATCAAGAGCTGAAATCTAACACGAGTTAGTTTTGTTTTCCCCTTAGGAATAAAATTTTGGGGAGAGAGAGAGAGAGAGAGAGAGAGAGAGAGAGAGAGAGAAGAGGAGAGAATATGTTTTAAAATAAGACATAAAATAGGGATATATAACTGTTTATAATAAATTCCTCTGTCAGCTCTCAGAATCTTCAAAAGTCTATCAACCAAGTTAAAATGAGGTTCAATCTTATGTTTTAAAGAGATGTTTTGATTTTTTAAAAACTTACCTACAGATCTTTACAGGAGATGTTTTCTGTATGAAAGTAAAGACACATAATTAGTCTTCAAAAATATTCCCCCAAAAAACATTTCAATTAAGAGGCAAATAAATTATGAGCGAATTTATTAGAGGTTTTGCAAGCTTGCTACACTTCACTCTTTTTTAAAGCTTTTTCTGCTTGGACCAAATGAAGGATGACTCAGTTCCAGAGCTGAGTCACCTCGGCAAAGCACTTTCACCATTAGAATGTTTACCCGTGAAAAGCAAAATGATGTCAGGGCAACCTTCAAGAATCTTCCAAACCAAGCAGAGGGAAACGAGAGAGAGAGATTGATGCCATCCATATCCATGTAGGAAAATAAATTAAGCTCTAATCCAACTTATCTTCTAGGTCTGTCTCTTTATTTGTATTTACTTATTTTTGAGATGAGGTCTCACTACGTTGCCCAACCTGGCCTCAAACTCCTGGACTCAAGTGTTCCTCCTGCCTCAGCCTCCCAGGTAGCTGGGACTAGAGGTGCATGCATGCACCCTGAGCCACAGGTCTGTCTCTTCAAATAACTCTTTCATTTATCCACCTCTGACTCTGAGCAGTCCTATAAAATGACCGGTGATGATGTGAAAATTAATAAACAGAAAAAAAAGGTGAAGAGAGAGAGAACAAATGGCAGACTGAGGAATGGAAACTTTTCATTTAGGATTTCCTACAATGAATAAATTCTAATTTGGACTCAACCTTTATAAACTCCTACCAATTAATCAATTTCACTGTATTCTTTGAACAGACGAAGGAGGGAGTAGCACAGAGTCCTGTGTTTTATAGAAGAAACAGACAGGTAGGATGACAGATTTACTCTGGAGATTTCAGAAGGATCGTTTTGCGAGTTGGGGACAAATTACAATTTTGACACTAGTTCAGATAAAGTGTGAAGTATAAATATTGTTTAGAAGTGAGGCTTTGACAAGAGAAACATAAGCAGTTTGCTACCAGGCTATCTTAAGTGTGCAATTTTTACTAAATAACCAAGTTTTTGTTATTTTAATAAACAGATTCTATTTGTGTGCAAAGCAGTGGCTTGCATCCTTGGGATTTTTAATCTCTGATTTTTATCCAGTCTGGCATCCGAGTACAGGAAGCAGAGCCAGGCATGGCTACTCTGCCCCCTGGTGGGAACAGCTTTCATTTATCTAGCCTTTCGTTTATGCAGAGAGGATAACCACCGAAGGGCTCACGGTTCCTGCATAATTGTCCCCACTGCAGATAAAATATATTTCTAAAAGATTCTGAGCCAAATGTAACCAAAATCTCCACAGTCTGGTGGAACAATAGGTCAGGAAGGACAGAGATTAAAGGGAAGTCCCAACTTTTTCATGAAAAACATGTTTGCCCAGTAACTATTGTGGGGTGTCTGTTGCAAGGCAACAAATCCATCCAGAGCCTGAAAGAGTTCCCCCTCCCACAGGGGACAGATTCTTTTTAAAATTTTAAACTCCTTCAGATTAAAAGAGCCCAGACAATGAAAACAAGCAATGGATTCGTTACTTAGCTCTCTTCTCCCAGGGCTCTGAAAACAACTGAGGACTTAATGTTACCTTTGTTTAGAAATAACCCAGTAATGAGTCCCAACAATAGCTCAGTTTCTGAATGGGCCAACACAACTCCTCAAAAGTCACACTGCCAAAATTAACAATAAGTGGCTAACATCACTCAGGGTTAGCTAACTTATTCTGTGCCCAGCACTACTCCTAAGGGCTCTGTATGCATTGACTTATTTAATTATGAGATAATTAATAGTTGTGGGTTATTTGTTCTAGATAAGGGCACCTGACTCACTGGAGAAGTTAGGGAAGTCATCCAAGGACATGGGGTTTGAACCCAGGCGTTCTGGTTTCAAAAATCTGACTTTTTTCTTCCAGTCTGCTTGCCAGGACACAACTGCTGGTCCTCTTAAGTCACCACCCTTCATTTGCTGCTTCCTGTGCCTGCCTGGAGCACCCTTTCTTCTTGTCTAACTAGAAAATCCCTCTTGTGTGTCTTGGCTCAAATCTAGCCCTGGGGAGGCCTTCCCTGCTCACTCCCAGAGGACTTGCTGGTGGTCACCTCCTGGTCCACCCACACCTCATCCCAGTCTGTATGGGCATCACAACTCACAATTACATGTCCGCTCAATGCTGAGTTCTATAAGGATAATCAATACCTCCTACACATCTCCAGTTTTAGGCCTAGCAAAATGTTTGCTATTTAGTGTATACCTAATAAATGCCAAACAAACAAAAAGCATTATTCTAATGTATCTGCAAGGTAGATGTTGAATTCCATGAGCCACACAGTACCTTACAGTCAAATTGTGTGTGCACGTATATGTGCCTACACAAAGAACAAATTGTCGATCATGAAAATGAGCTACAGGTTCCAGATTGAGTTTATTCTCATAATCTGGGAACAAGGTCATGAGGAGGTCAACTTGACTTTCCAAAATGGATTCTATTCAAATCTACACACATAAGGGACAGAATAACATCGTACCATTTGACAGTCTGTGAGGTGGGGAGCAATGTGTTCCTTATGAGATGGGATCCTACACACATCAGGGCTCCCAGTCACAGGGTGAGGAACGTAAGTCACACCAAGCCTACATCCCAGCCATCTTCATCACAGAGCATATTTTAATGCTGAGTAGCCAGAAACCACCTGCGGGTCTGCAAGGAGGGACTGGCCAAAAGTATGCTTCATCCAACATGGAATGCTGACAGGAATATGGATTCCTGACAAAGTGTTAAACAGAAACACCAGGGTGGGTTTTACCCTTTGTGTAAATACATCTCTACATGTACATAGAAAAAAAAAGTCTGCTAAAAATACACGGGTTCCTTGGGGAAGCAGAAACAGTTGATTTCCAGAATTTTTTCTTCTGCTTTTCTATAGCTGATTCCATCTTGTATTTATACAAGAAACAAAAGCTTTTTAAAAAAAAACAACTAAAAAAAATGTTACCCACACAATTGTTTTCTAATTTTCCCAGACAAGAAATGAGGTTGATTTGCCTTACTAATGAAATGGAGTTAATTAATTCCAAGGACAGGTTCTCTCAGACAGAATCTTGGCCCCTGGCCTGCAGGGAAGAAGAGGGTCTCCTGCTGAATGGCAATATCCCAAGGGGACTCTCTAACCCCAAGTCCTACTCACCTTCATCTACAGGACTCGACTTGTCCATCAGGAAACAAAACCCTGAAGAGGTACCTCAATCCCACCCCCAGACCAGGTAAATCTTCATTTCTAAATTCGTAAAAAAGTACCACTCTCAGGACTAATTGGGCTTTTTGGAATCCGAGTGTCATGAGTCAGCCTCCTAGAGCTGAGCAGCTATCAGGGCGATGGTGAACCTGATCCTCAGTGCCTACTCGGTGATAGCTCAGCTTAGCACCACTTCTATAAAGACACCTGTCCCATGATCCCTGACCTTGGGAGGGCTCAAAGGAAGCCTCCTGGAGACACAGGGAAAATATTTCCTTATCTCACTGAACCTAAGACAACACTGATTATAAATGTCAGAAGGAAAACAATTACACCACATGATTGATTGTAAGAGTCTCCTGATTTTAGATTGATGAAAGCAAAAAAAAAAAAAGCACAGCACAGAACTGGTGAGATGGGGAAACTGCACGATGGTGTGGTAAGTAAAATATCAGAGAGAAAGGAGCCATTCTCCTTGAGGAGCAAGGAACCCTTTACCCACATGGAGATCGGCCAGGTGCCAAGTGGACTGTAGCTCCCACCTTTGCTGGAACAGCTGCAGAGGAAAGGACACAGGCCCTACCTGACTGCCACAAGTGCTCAGGGGACCAAGTTCTCATCCCTCAGCCCCTCAGCTAGGCCACCCAAAGACAGGGGACTTGAACTAGGGTGACTGCGGCAGTGGGAATGGAGAAGAAGAGACAGACTCAGTAACAGACTGAAGGTAGGGGGGAAAGGAGACTAAGGAGTGGAAGGTACCCCTAGGTTTCTGAGTTGGGTGAAGATGGCCAGAACTGGAATTCCCACCTGAGAAGCATGATGGGAAAAGCAGATCCGTTCCATTGGATCCCTTTGCATTACTGATGCCTGGGGAGACCCGGAGGAAAACAAGCCATGGGACCAAATTAAACCACCCATAATAACACTGATCATCACAGCTGGCAAACAGAGCACCCACGATGTGCTAGAAACTGTGGGAGGCACTTACACATGCGTAGCTGTTGTTTTTTACAGATGGAGACCCCAAAGGTGAAGGGCTTGCTCTGGCTAGTATGAGATACAGCTAGGACTGGAAAGAAAAGCTTCCCTGGCTGAGCAAATGCTCTGTGTAAAGCCCTGCGGGCATTTTCTTGTGGTACCTGGACAAGCTAGGAGTGGGACTGCTACCAACCAGGCCTGGGGAAATTCCTCTTTGTCTCCTGAGGTTCTGGTTCAGCCCTGGTCTGGAGTCGAGCTGCATTCACACTAACAAACATTCCCACAAACATCTGATCCACTGAGCAATGTTAAAAGCAGGTTCCCTGCAATCAGTGACCACTGTCAGGCAGTCTTGACTGGAAATTGGTGGCAGGAATGGACACTCATTGAGGGCGCTGAAAAGAAGAGTGTTTCTTAGAAATTTAAGGCTAGGGATGTGAAACTAACGTTTTGCATGATCACTTACCTCTTTCCAAAAACACTTCTGGTAGCCACAGATGATAACTTCAGCTGCATTATGCAAAATGAGAAACACAGGAACGGCCTGAAAGAAAACAGAATAATAAGCATGAAAATATTTTCTCTGATCTCATAGTTACATGATTCTTGATTTTTGTTTAAAAATAAAGATCTGTGGGAATGTCTGGCATTCCCATAGAGCATATCTCCAGCAAACTCTTCTGCATACATTGGCGCTCTTTGGGGGGCATTATTCTTGGTAGGGTGGTTGGAAAGGCTCCCCTCCTGTAGGTTTTCTCATCAAGAAACAGTTATTGCCAGGTGCAGTGATGCACACCTGTGATCCCAGAGGGGCTCAGGAGGCTGGGACAGGAGGATCAAGAGTTCAAAATCAGGGGCTGTGGCTCAGCGGTACTGCACGTGCCTAGCATGCATGAGGCACTGGGTTCGATTCTCAGCACCACATACAATAAAATAAAGGTCCATCAACAACTAAGAAAACAAAATTTTTAAAAAAAGAGTTCAAAATCAGCCTCAGCAAAAAGCAAGGCACTAAGCAACTCAGTGAGACCCTGTCTCTAAATAAAATACAAAATAGGGCTATGGATGTGGCTCAGTGTTCAAGTGCCCCTGAGTCCAATCCCTGGTACCAAAAAAAAAAAAAGAAAGAAACAGTTATTAAGCACCTCCCGTGTATCAGGCAGCATGCCAGGTGCAGGGGACACATCACATGAACAAGGTAGACATTGCAAGGGATCCTGTCCCAAGTATGTGAGAGCTCAAAAGGAACACACAGAAAGGCACAGCTGACCCAGGCAGGGACAGCAAGTCTTCTTGAGGAGATGAAGACCCAAGTCCAAGTGAGAACTGGACTCACACAGAGGCAGGCAAGGGTCTCAGAGAGAACAGAGCAGAGGCCCAGAGAAACAAACCCAGCTCCTCCATGGAACTAGAGGAAATTGAGCATGAATGGAACATACAATAAAAGAAAAGCAGGAGGAGAAAAGGCAGAGAGGCAATGACAGGCCACATCAAGGAAGTAGGAGCATCCATGGGCCACAAGAATCACTGAAGAATTTTAAGGCAGACTCAGATATGAATTGATCTGCATATTTAAAGGAACTCGGGGAAAGGAGACAGAGATGGCTGCAAAAGTCTAGGGATACCATAGACTGAGCCTCCACCCCCAATATATCCACATCCTAATCCACGGAACTTGGGAATGTTACTTTATATGGCAAAAGAGGGGAGGGGGTCTTTGTGAATTTAAGTAAACAGGAGATTATTCTGGATTAGCTGGTGGCCCTAGATGCAGGCATAAGTATCCTAACATAAAGAAAGGAGAGTCTGATACACACAGTCAAGAAGCACTGGAACCCAGAGCCACTCAAGTGATGTGGCCACAAGCCAAGGAATGTTGACGGACACCAGAGCTGGAGGAGTTGAGGAAGTTTCTGCCCTAGAGCCTCTGCAGGGAGTATGATCCTCCAATGCCTTAATTTCAACTCAGTGAAACTGATTTTGGACTTATGGCCATATGATTCTGTTGTTTTTAGCCACCCAAATATGTGGTAATTTTTTACAGAAGCCACAGGAAACTGATACAGTGACTAGATGGTAGTCTAAACTCGGTGGTGGCAATGCAGTTGGAGAAAAGTGGCCACATCAAGGAAATACTTAGAATATGGAACTGAGGAAATATATGGATAAATGGGACCAAATCTGCACAAAGTTTAAAAAAAAGGAGGCAAAGATATAAAAAATATAACACAGTGGGCTATTAGGACATGCAAGGATCCATTGCACATTCGCTAAGAATGACAGACTCTCCTAACTTGACAGGTTATCTTGACAAAGTGAGGGGGAAGGAGTAAGGGCAGTGGTTCTGTTATTGTCTTCATTACTGATGACATAATGATGTTTCACGGAAGGCAGAAAAACACCAAGAATAAGAGCACTGTTTTGGCATCTTTCTCTTGTGGAGAAAGGCAAGCATCCAGGCTGCAGTTCCCTGGTAGTGTGGGGATAACAGCTGGGGCTGCTAGAAGGAACCACGAAATCACTTTGGAGAAGGACCATGATCAGGGCTCAGCACTGTTCAGAAGATGGTAATCACTAATGGGCAGCTCATCCCATTGTTTCAGCTCAGAGGATCTGCTTCAAGATTATGCAGCTCACCTCCTTGCTTTATCTTTAGAGAGGATATATATTTACCTTGTTTTTAAAATTTTTATGATCATTTAGCTTCTGCTCTATTTCAGTATTCTATTCTACTTTGCATTATTTGTTTTTCTTTTTTAATTCTTTATTTGCATTTTTTCTTGCCTTTTAAAAAACATGTCTTTAGTTTTCATTAAAAGATCAACTCAGGGCTGGGGTTGTTGCTCATGATAGAGTACTCACCTAGCATGTGTGAGGCACTGGGTTCAATCCTCAGCACCACATGAAAATAAATAAAATAAAGGTATTGTGTTCATCTACAACTAAAAAATATATATTTTTAAAAGTTCAACTCATGGGGCTGGGGTTGTGGTCCAGTGGTAGAGTGCTTGCCTTGCACACATGAGGCACTGGGTTCAATCCTCAGCACTGCATAAAATAAATAAGTAAAACAAAGGTATTGTGTCCATGTTCAACTTAATTTGTTTTTTAAAAAAGCTCAACTCATTTTGATTTTTTCTTTTCAAAATCAGAGTTTATTTCAATCTTTTCTGTTTTGCATTTATCTTTTGTGCTTTTAATAATTCCTCTTAAACTTTTCATATTTTAAGTTATTTTATATGTGTTTTAAGATGATTAAGGGAAGGGCTAGGATGTAGCTCAGAGTTAGCCCACTTGCCTAGCATGTGCAAGGCCCTGGGTTCAATTCCAGTCCCACAAAAAAAGGGAAAAAAATTATTAAAGGGCATTTTTTTAAAAAGGTGGCTTTATCCATTAGGCCCATGTTTGGCAAGGTGGGCCCCAGGCATTCCAGTTCTTGAGAAGATGGCAAAGAAAGTCTTAGGTTAATCATGTGGCACATGAAAGTGAGTAAGCTTATCAAGTGAAGACCTTATTTGAAATAGCTTTTACTCCCTGGCTATAAAATCAGTAATGAATGGCTGCAGTTGTGGCTCAGTGGTAGACTGCTTGCCTAGCACATGTGAGGCACTGGGTTTAAGCCGCAATACCACATGAAAATAAATAAATAAGATAAAGACAGTGTGTCCATCTGCAACTAAAAAAAGGTATTTTTAAAAAATCAGTACTGAGATCAGATTTATAACTGAGACCCTAACACTAGACCTACTCTGGACTTCAAAGAGGCTTAATTTTTTCAATTTTATGAACTGTAGACTACTCAATTTTTCTAGGCTCTACTCGGATCAGATTCTGGAAAACGATCCATCCCTATGTGTAGAACTGATTTTAAAGCACACTAATAGTAGCTGCCAACAATGTGTTAAGCATACGGTACCAATGATTTATTGCATTCTCTTATTTAAAACTCCTCCCAATAACTCCACTAGTAGATGCTATTACTCTGATTTTTAAAGACAGGAAAACTGAGGTGTAAAGACTAGGCCTCTTGCTTAAATTCTCACAACTGGTTCTGGGAGAGCTGTGACTCTTGATTGCAAGCCGAGGCTCCTAGCCTTTATGTTATGGCTCTTAAATTATGTCAAGTCCCTAGTGAAAGCTTCCCGACTCTCCAACTGTCTAAAGTTCAATCTGATTGGTGTGTTCCAAATCCTGGCAGTCTGCTTATTCCAGTAAAACTTGTACAATATAAAATGGATGAATCAAGTAAAATATATGCCATTTTTAAAAGGCATACCTTCAACTCCTGTTTAAATTTTAAATCTGAATTTCTTAATCCATTTTTCCAACTGAGAAGCTAGCAGGCATTAGAGATAGCCTACAATTGACCAGTTACACTCTCTGCCTGTACAAGGGGCTACCAAAAACAGTATTAAGCCAGGGATGCTGGCATAAACCTGTGGTCCCAGCCACTCATGAAGCTGATGCAGGCCAAGCAAGGTGGTGCCCACCTGTAATCCCAGTGGCTTGGGAGCCTGAGGCAGAAGGATCGTGAGTTCAAAGCCAGCCTCAGGAAAAGTGAGGCACTAAGCAACTTAGTGAGACCCTGTCTCTAAATAAAATACAAAATAGGGCTGGGGATGAGGCTCAGTGGTCGAGTGCTCCCGAGTTCAATCCCTGATAACGCCTCCCCCCCACCCCCGCCCCACCAAAACAAAAAAGTCTGATGCATGCAGAAGGATCACTTAAGCCCAGGCGTTTGGGACCAGCCTGGGCAACATTCCAAGAACCCCATATCAAAAAATGAAAAGGCAAAACAACAGTATCAAAGAAAGCAGGCAACTTCACCAAGCTTTCTTGGCTTCTAATTGCATAGGTCCTTGTCTGAAGTGTGTTACATTAGTTCAGAAGACCCTTTAGTAACTGATTCTTTAGGATACCTGCCATTATCTCTGTAGAGTTCGCTTCAGCAGGGACTTCTGTTAAACCAAACAAAAATCCTGAAAAATGATAACAGCAGTAGTAGCAGGTGAGACACATTGAATGCTTAGAACATACTAGACACTGATCTACCTGCTTTCACATATTTAAAATGCATAGTGACTCCACAAATGAGCTACTATTAACATCCCATCATACAAATGAGAAAACTGAGGCATCCATTCTGGTTCCCCTTTCTAACCTAAATGTCTACTTGCTGCTAAAGAGAACGGAAAAATAAGTATGTGCTTCCACAATATCAAGAATCTTGGAATGCCCTCAACAACAAAAGGTACAGTCATCCTTCATCAGGAAAAAAAATGACCCAACATCAACCACTGTCAAGCTCAAATCATCATTTTTGACATAAGTCTGCCAAAATGTAATTGGCCAAATTTGACTATATTGCAGGTCAATTCATTGAATTACTTAGGGGCACAATTAACAACTAATTTATTCTTTAGAGTGCACTAGCTTAAAATTTAACATTTCATCTATGTGCTAATGAATTTTTTTCGGATATGAGAAGAAAGTGGTAACTATTCCTTAGAAATATTTCATTATTCTCATGCTTCTCAGATGGAA